TACAAGAAATTAATTTCCCTGAAGTTTCAGGAGGCTTGATTTAGGACAGTGGTGTTTTTTCCTTCCTTCTAATTGTATGGCTATAGAGTTCCATCTTTTATTGTGTTTTTTTAAAAATATATTTTTAGTGATTTCAGAGAGGAAGGGAGAGGGAGTGAGAGATAGAAACATCAGTGATGAAAATCATTGATCGGCTGCCTCCTGCATGCCCCACACTGGGGATGGAGCCTGCAACCTGAGCATATGCCTGAGCAGGAATCATGACCTCCTGGTTCTTAGGTTGATGCTCAACCATTGAGCCATGCTGTCTGGGCAATCTTCTATTATTTTTAAGAATTGTTCAAAATTATAGCTAATTCCTTTGTGCCTCTTCTACTTTTGTCTGGATTTTCTATTTTGTCTCTCTTGTCCCTTTCCTGGCCAATGTGGAGTCTATTCCCACCAGTTTCTTCTTAGAATGGCACTTTGCCCTTAAAGGGGGTTTTAGATGGCTTTGAAAGTTCCAGGAAGCTCCTGGCTGTACCATGCACTCCTTGCACTCAGTCACTCTTTAAAGGTACATATCCCTGTTAGTCTTAGTTGTTCATAAATTAGCTTGCTGAGGTTTGAGTGAGTTATTTCACAGTTCTCACATCTGTCAGATGCCCTGCTGATTCTTGCTGCAGATTCTTCCATAACTGTTAACATTTATCTCTTGTAGTTATCTCTAATTTCTCCCCATCTACTCATATTTCAGGGTTCACGGGGGAATAATTTTCATCTCATTTTGTTGTAGATTATGTCCATGGATTTTGGTTTCGCTTTCCTACTTAACTTTCTAACTTGTGGTTTTTATGGTGGCATTTAAAGATTTTAAAAAACCCTGCTGCCTGCCTGGAGTGACTCAGCGGTTGAGCAATGAATCATGAGCCAGGAGGTCATGGTTCAATTCCCAGTCAGTGCACATTCCCCAGGGTGGGACATGCAGAAGGCAGTTGTTCAATGATCCCCTCTCGTAATTGATGTTTCTATCCTCCTTTCTCCTTCTCCCTTCCTGTATCTGAAATCAATGAAAACATAAAAATAAAAAAAAAACCCACACACACCCTGCTGCCAACCACCACTTTTATGCAAGGATTTCTCTCTAAATGATACACCACAGGCCAAATGTTGCCTGCTAGTTATTTGTGTACAGTCTGCAAACTAAGAATGCTATTATACTTTTAAACATTTGAGAAAAAATCTAAAGAAGAATCCTATCATGACACTTGAAAATGATGTGAAATTGAAAATTTCAGTGTCTATAGGTAAAGTTTTGTTGGAACACAGTCACACCTATTCATTTATATGTTATCTATGACTGCATTCATGCTATGACAGCAGAGTTGAGTTACTGGGACAGAACTATATGGCCTTCAAATCTGAAAATATTTATTATCTGGTCACTTACAGAAAAAGTTTGCCAACCCTGATTCTATATCATACTCTTTATTGGCTAAATAGCATTCCATTGTGTAAATATGTTATAATGTACTTAACCAAGTTTCCATTATTGGGCATTAAGATGAATTCTAAATTTCATTATTATAGGCATCATTTCACAGCTAATATTAACATATATATTTTATTACGTTCTTGGAATATATTGTTACAAGTAAGATTGCTGGATCAAGGAAGATTATTTGATTGATATTGACAAATTGTCATACAAAGAGGATATACAGGTTAATTATCTTTTAAGGATACTGTTTAGATGCATTACGGTGCATTTGTGTAATGAAATATTATGCAGAGATTAAAGAAGATGAAGTGGATGTATTTTACTGATGTATAAAAACATAGAATATATGCTATTAGACACTCTGGTTACATATGTTGGGAGTGATTCCTTCATAGTAAAGAAATGAGGGAACTAGAATATACATATTTAAACTTTTCACAAGAAGTATAGGTTACAACTAGGCTGTACCAGTTTATATACCTACCAGTAGTATGTCTGAATGGTTGTTTTGACATGTTGTTGCCTAAATATAATTTTTTTAATATATTTTATTGATTTTTTCTAAATATAATTTTTTAAAGGTCTTGCTAATTTGATAGCTGAGGAAAAGGCATCTTGTTTTAATTTTACATATCCACTTTTATATTTTTCATGTTCTTTAGCTTGAATTGATTCCTTTGTACAGTTCTTGTTTATTGTCCATTTTCCCTGAAATATTCATCTTTTCTTTGGTGATTTGTAAAGCTTTTTTTAATATATCAAATATTAATCCTTTGGCCTGTCATTTGTATCTGCTTTTGTCATTAATAATGTACAAATTTCTTTCTTTTTTATGCAATCAAATATTTCTTTATTTTTTATGTATAGAAATGCCTTTCCTACCTCAGGTTTATATAATTGTTTTTTAATATATTTTTCTATTACTTATTTGATTTGGATTTTTATATTTCAGCCTTGAAAGTCTTGAATCCATAGGGAATTTATCCATGTAGGCTGTGAGGTAGGATTTAGCTTTATTTTTCAAATGCTTAGCCAGTTGTCTTAGTGCCATTTATTAAATAAGCCATTATTTCAAGGTTATATAATTTTTTTAGATTTTTTTATTAGAAATCTGTGTATTTCTCATTTTTAAAAAAATCAGGTTTGTTGATTGGAAGAGTTTTAGAAAATATATACAGTTTTATAATCATTACTATAATCAAGATATAGGACATTTCCACCATCCCCCCAGGAGCTCCCTTTTGCCCCTTTGCAGTCAATCCTCAGTCCCTGACCCTATGCTCTTGCAATCACTAATCTGTTTTCTGCCCAAAAGTTTTACCTTTTTTCAGAATGTGATATAAATGGAATCATGCAGTACGTATAATAGTTTTCGAGTCTGCCTTTTTAATACGCATTTAAGAGACATCCACGTTGTTATGTGTAGCAATAGTTTATTTCTTCTTTTAAATTTTATTTTATTGTTTAAAGTATTACACATTGTAGTACTCAGAAAGGATATATGCACCCCTATGTTCATAGTTTATTTCTTTTTATTACTGAACAGTATTCCATGATACGGCTGTATCACCATTTATTTAACCATTCTTTTATTCAAGGACATTTGGGGTCTTCAGTTTTTGGTTTTCATTAATAAAGCTGCTATAAACATTTTTGTAAAGGTCTTTATGTGGACATATTTCTCTTGGTTAGACACGAGGGGTTGGGATTTCTGAGTCACGCAGTAAGCATATGTTTTGCTTTATAAGAAACATTCAGACTGTTTTTCATAGTGGCTGTACTATTTTACATTTCCACCAACGATGTATAAAAGATTCAGTTATCCTTGTCAGTACTTGGAATTGTCAGTATTTCTTATTTCCACCATTCTATTAGGAGTATCAGGGATAAATAATTTGTTTAGACTAATTGGGATATTTTAAGCATTGTTTCCCAACTTACCCCTCCATAGGCTTTCTATGACTGGGTGGTTTGTACTTGCTCAGTCCATTCCCAGTTGCTCAACCTGAGGTAGCTAAATGGCCATTGTTACTGTTGTTTCTGTTTTTCTTCTTTCCATTTCCTTTCTGAGGGTTGTAGAACCATAAAACATAAAATCAGAAAAAGAGCCTAGAAATAATCTAGGGTAATGGTTGGCAAGCTATTTATTTCAAGGACCAGATAGTACAGTTGTCCATGGAGGATTGGTTCCAGGGTTCTTCCCCCCCCCCCCCCCCCAGATACCAAAATCTGGGATGCACAAGTCCCTTATATAAGATAGCGTAAAGCAATGCATTGGCCCTCTACATGCATGGATTATCAACTTTGGGTTGAAAATACTGTTTTTGTTCCTGAATTGGTTAAATACGTGGATGTGAAACCTGTGGATAAAGAGGGTTGAGTAAACATATTTTGGGCTTAGCAAGCCAGTTTGTCTCTGTCACAGCAACTCAACTCTGCTGTTGGAGCATGAAAGCAGACACAGACAATACAGAAGAAGTAGGTGTGGCTGTGTTCCAATAAAATTTAATAAAACCAAGTGACCTACTGGCTTTGGCTTTAGATCATAGTTTACTGAGCCTTGGTTTAGTCTAACAACTTTCTTTTACAGATGAAGGGACTGAGCTTAGGTTTTACCCTTTTCCTTGATTTACATGTAAAGATGGCAAGGACCAGGATATTGGTTCTCACCATAGGAGACACACGTAAATTGAGTTCAAGATGAGCTTAACTTATGCATAATTCCCTGCTCTAGCAGATGGTGTTAAATGGAACTATTAATATAAGGTCTTTCAAAAGTTTTAACTGCATTGAAACTTTTGGGACAATTAATATTGCCATTTACTAAAATACTAGTTGACTTTTTAACCTAATATGTCTCTGGAGCAATAGTCAAATTTGAGTGTTAAGAAAACGAAGGTTAAAACACTTTAAGTAATAAAAGTATACCACCCTTTTATTCTTCTTCTTCTTTTTTTAAAATATATTTTATTGACTTTACATAGAGAGGGACAGAGAGTTAGAAACGTCGATGAGAGAGAAACATCGACCAGCTGCCTCTTGCACACCCCCCACTGGGGATGTGCCCGCAGCCAAGGTACATGCCCTTGACTGGAATCGAACCCGGGACCTTTCATTCCACAGGCCGACACTCTATCCACTGAGCCAAACCAGTCCTGACCCTTTTATTCTTCTTTAAAAAACAAACAAACAAACAAAAAAAACAAAAAAAAAACAACAACTTTGTTTTTAATTTTGGATATGTCTAAATTTGTTTATCTTTTAAAATGGCCATTCAATATCACATAACAACCCCATGCTTTCTTCTTTCTTTAAAGTTAATTCCTGATTGTTTTATTTCGTTAATTGCTCAAATAGATGAAGATTCTTAGGTCAAAAAAGAAAAAAACAACACATAACAGGAAACACACACTCATGGTTCCATGCACGTAAAGCTAAAAATAAGCATTGGCTAAGAGTACTCAGGGAAAGAACATTATTTAGAAAAGTCATCGTGTCTGTGTTTTTTCCTTTCTTCTAGCACTGGAAGAAGTATGACATCTATGAGAAGCAAACCAAAGAAGAAACCGATTCTGTCGTGCTGATAGAAAACCTGAAGAGAACCTCTCAGTGATGGGAATCACTTATTTGAACATTCAATCTGAGAACTTGTTAAATGGAAACTGAAACTACTGGACCATTTAAAAATAGGCAGCTCATAAGAGCCATACGCTTGTATGTTGAGTCATGCACCGAAAAACTAAAAATAATGGGCCCTTTGGAAAAGAGAGGGGAATTATTCTCATTGAATTGTACAAGCAGGCATCTTTGTGAAGTTTTCAAACTAGGGGGCCAAGCAAAAATCGATGATACCAATAGAGTTAATCTTATCAAGAGCTGAGACAACTTTCTGAGGGTTCTATGCCTGTTTTGTACTCATTTTGTCAAATGATACCAACAAATTTTATTTGTGGGGGCTTTAATTTTTGAGTGCAAATGCTAATGCCAAACTTGAGTCACAGAGACCATTTAGCAAACAAAATTGAAAAAAATATATATATGTTGTTTGGTATCCCATTAAGTAATGCTTGTGGCTATCCAGAATCATCATCCCTTCAGCAGCATGTTTCTCTACTTTGAAAGGCCCAGACATTAGTGTTGGCCACGATGATGACAACTACAGAAAAAGCAGTGTCAGCTTCTTTCACCAGTACCTTTCAAAGCTATTGCAGGCTTTTAAGGGCATCAGAGACAGAAAGACTTACTGGGTATTAGTATTTGAACCACTGCATTCTCCAGTGATATACTGATTTTCCTTCACCTCTACTACTAAAATCAAGTATTTGCTATGTGTCCAGTTTGTGCTAGGCTCCCAGGTGTGAGGCACCTCTGTCGAAGGGTTGACAATCTGGTTCTTACCACTTTCTTTTTCTCCACCAGTCATTTTTCAGACCTTTTAATTCCCCGTTCCCACACCTGATTTCCCCTTTTGTATTTTCCCTCATTGTAGTCTTTCACCTTTCATTGGATATTAGAATATAAATCTGCTCAGAATACCTGGAGGAGCAGGGAGTGATTTGTAAATTGTGAGTTGACTTAGAAACAATGACAAGTTTTTGCATATTTTGTAAGTTCTGTATGGGTCTGCATTTATTTGATGGTTTTCAGCATTTACTATTTCTCTATATACTTTCTAAACAGAAAGGAGATATAACCTTCACTTAGAACTTTGCTATTTGCTTAATAAAAAGAATTAGCTGTGTTTCCCTCTTTTCCTTTATTGTCACAAATAGTTATTAGGTTTTGTGTCTTGTACAGCTAGCCAGCATCCAAGGCTCCAATGTTTGTATGCAATTTTTGCATATGCTAGGGTTCCATTCTCACCCATCCCCACAACATATATTCCCCCGACCCCTACTTCCTCCAAATTTAAAGTATGGAAATGATATTGCCCTCCTAGTGTTTCTCTCTTTACAAAGATAGGGTTAGATTACTAGTGAGAATTTGAGAAGTTTGTATCACCAGTTCTCCAAATATTCATCCATTGGTATTAACCAGATGGTGCTGCTTATAATTCCTGCTGTTAGGGGAAGGGAGATCAGAGATCCATGCTCTTCACAGGTTTGGGGGAAAGTAGCAACCTGCTTGCACTGCAGAAGAGGAGCACTGTGTCCCCAGCTTTTCTGAGGAAATTGGGGTTCAGAGCAATAGTAGATGCCAAGCTATTGCCTCCCTGCACTTTTATTTTTGAGGTCAGATTGAGCCTGGAAGACAGGCATGGATGTTCCACTGGGTTCTACTGTTTTCTAAAAAACAAAAACAAAAAAACAAACAAACAAAAACAAAAAACCCCAACACCTTGGCCTTCCTTTGTAGAAATGAAATTATATCCTAGCCAGGTCTTTTATAATTCTGGGAGGCAGAACACTGAAATGCATCACCCAAAGCCATTTTTCCTCTTACTCTATGTAGATGGCAATGCGGTGAGGGTGTGCTTTGATACTGTTTACCCAAGGAGCTAGTGATACTGATAGTCATGCATCTTGGGAGTGGGGAAATTGTATTTTTCATTCTCATTTGTTAGCAGTAAAATAGTATTTTTGGGGGGGAGGGGGTAGCAAAATAGTTGAGGGAAAGGGACAATGAGTTATGGGATTAGCTAGCTATAGCTGTTTTTTAATTGTTGAAGAGTGATCCCCAGGTCTTGGGAGCTTTTGGAGAATTTAATACAGGGTGGGGCAAAAGTAGGTTTACAGTTGTTCATATGAAAATAATAATATAATAATAATAATAATACAAAAATAAACTATGTTTTGTGTACTTACAACTGTAAATGTACTTTTGTATCATCCTGTACATCAGTGGAATTCTCATCACCTGGAGGAAACTAGTAGGTTCATTACTGTTTTATGTTTGACCTATATGTATCTCCCCCCCCTTCCGCATACTTAAGTAAATCTACTGTAAGAATGTACATTCTTATTCTTTCATTCAGGTAAGTGTTTTCTTCATCTGGGCACTAAAGGGATATGTGAAACAATGTTAACATTTTTTTGTAATGCCTTCAACTAGGGGTCATTGTGTTTAACTTCTTATAGGAAAGTTTGAATAAAATAAAGATTGTCTTTTTATATGTCACTCAAATGTTTTCCTTTGGTATTATTTTGGGGAAAGAATTATGAATAGTGGGTGGCAGAAAAAAATGGAGTTAAATGAATAAATGTGAACATTTCTCAGCTATTTTATCTTACAATCATTTATCATAAGCTTCCTTGCTGTTCTCAGTATGGCTGTGTTTTCTGATAAGGCCATGCACTTAGTTTAATATTAGTACAGCCTTTGAAAGCAGTACCTAAAGGGACGTATTTGATAATGATGGTTGTGATAATTAAGGGAAATAGAAAACTGATCTTTTCTAATATGAAGCTTAAAATATTAATAGAATACAATATACTTAAGGAAGCTGTCATGGTACACATGAAGGCGGGGGACCCCCTAGTTACAAATTAATCACATTAGCAGATTAGATTTGAGACTAAGAAAATCAGTCTCAATAGCTGTGTTCTTAAGAAATGGTGATGTAGTTTCATGTTTTCTATAAATACAGTAAAAATGGTTTGAATGTTACAGAGGATTTTTTTCTCATTTATGTTGAGCTCTAGGGGTGGGTCTTGAGCCAGAACACAGTGTGTTAATTACACTGAATTTACATAGAATCCCAACCAAAGGATGTGTGTAGGGGATACTGATCTTAGTCAGGTTAGTTCTGTTATCTAGGATGCTCCAAGAAGATTCTAGAAATCTACTTCCAGATTGGTATAGCTTTGTTTTTAACAGCAAGCCTCCTTTTAATTCTTAGTATACCAAAACAGGGAGTACTATGATAGAAAACATTGAACTATAAAGATCCTTGTATATATGAGATCCATGGAAACAAATTACTCTAGGCACAAACACAGTCACCTTATCTCAGGGGGAGAGGAGCCAAAAATGAGCTAAGCACATTGATTTCCAAAGTCTCTTTCCTTTTATTAATTTATTTTTTGAAATATGTTTTACTGATTTTTCACAGAGAGGTAGGGAGAGGGATAGAGAGAAACATTGATGAGGGAGAAACATCCATCAGCTGCCTTCTGCACACTCCTTACTGGGAATGTGCTTGCAAATAAGGTACATGCCACTGACTGGAATCAAACTTGGGATCTCTCAGTCCTTGGGAATACGCTCTATCCACTGAGCCAAACCGGCCAGGGCAGGCTCTTTCCTTTTAAACCCTAATTATATCAGCAACAGCTATTTTTTTTCAAATACTGTAGCTAAACCTTGGCATGATTTTACTTCAAGGGAGGAGTTTTACTGACATTGGATGTGCTAGCTGTTTTTTATATCAGTCCCCAAGATGATTTCTTCCTGAAGGTTCTTTGGTCCCTTTCCTAATGGCCACTCTTTTAATTTACTAGCAATAGCAATAGGAACATATTACACTCCTAGTTTACTACATTTATTAGGTGAACCATTATATAAAAAGAGAAAATTAATAGTTATTGAGTGGCTGCTGTGTGCCAAGTTACATGTATTATTTTACTAAATCTTCATGTGAGTCCCATGAGATAGATTGCATTATTATCTTCATTTTATAGATGAAGAAGCAGAGAAACTGATTGATGTATGAGTGCAAGATCACACAGCTAGTAACTGATTGAAATGGAATTGGAAAATGTCAGCCCAGATTTTGACATTTTGACTTATATAATACGGCCCTATCTCTCATCATTGATTTTTTTCTCTCTCTCTTCCCTTCCTCTCTGAAATCAATAAAAATATATATTTTAAAAAATATTATGCAAGTAAAAACAAAACCTTCTTAATAAAAAATGATTAATTTGTGCATTCATTCTTCTATGAGCCAGGCAATGCGTTAGGTACTAGGAACTTAGTGAATAAGATTCAGCTTAGTATCAGGTGGTTAGCCAGGAAGGGGCTACTTTGTTCAGGGGAAATCTAGATTAGAATTTAGGAGTTCCAAATGACCTTAGACAGGTATTTCTTCCTGTCTGCATCTGCTTTCCCACCTATAAAATGCAGAGGCCATAAGTTGTGGAGCTCATTTAGAAGTGAGGATCTTTGCTGTACAATGGGCAGGTTCCTTCCTCTCTCTGGAGGCATCTGTCGAAAATAAGGTTGGACTAGATTAGCTCTATTTTGACATCCAGCAAAAATTAAGGTGACTTCTGTTTTACACATCAAGACAATACATACATAGTCATCTCCTACTCTTGCTGCATGAAGGAGCTAGCTATTAGCAGTAAACTGCCAAAAATAAGCAGAGTAGGTCCTTTGATAAAGATAATTGATACATTGGATGAGTGCTGTGGTCAATCCAAATCAGAATCTCCAAAAGAACCCAGCCATGGTTGTGCCTAACAAATATTTCTTAAGCTTTGTGGATCTTAGGTCATTTTGCCTAGAAACACAAAAATTGCTTTTGTATAATATAGATTGCTTGTTTAATGACTAAATTTGATACATTACCTAAAATACAGTCCATTTGATCTTAATACTTGTAAATTTGGTCATTGAATTTACTGGTTTTTATTTGATCAAAACAAAACATACATAGTTTTAAAAGTCAGATTACTACAGTGCTTATAGAAAAACAGCAATCTTGCCCAACCAGCATAGCTCCATGGTTGAGAATTGACCTATGAACCAAGAGGTAGGTAATGGTTTGATTCCCAGTCAGGCCACATGCCCGGGTTGCAGGCTCGAGCCCCAGTGTGGGGTATGCAGGAGGCACCTGATCAATGATTCTCTTTCATCATTGATGTTTCTATCTCTCCTTTCCTCTCCAAAATCAATTATATATATTTTACGGGTTTGAATGTGTTTTTTTTTATTTCTTTTTTTTTAAAATTTCTTTATTGATTAAGGTATCATCACATAATTGTCCTCATCCCCCCATTCCCATCCCAAACCCCTCCCCATGCATGCCTCCACCCCACTGTTGTCCGTGACCACTGGTTAGGCTTATATGCATGCATACCAGTCCTTTGGTAGATTAATCCCCCTTCTCCCCACCCTCCCCTACCTTCTCTCTGAGGTTTGACAGTCTGATTGATCCTTCCCTGTCTGTTTTTGTTCATCAGTTTATGTTGTTCATTATTTCCCCTAAATGAGTGGATCATGTGATACTAGAAATACACTTATAAGAACCAAAAATGAGACAAGCAATAATGGTTATGCTGAGAGGCAAATTAATCAATCTGTAGTGAGTTTCTTTCTGGGCCAACAGTTCTTTTGAGTCCCAATTTCAATGTCAAGCAGTTCCTTATGTGTACATGTCAGCAATGATATTTCAGTTCTGGATGGTGGACAAATGGTGGTAAAGCAGGTCCGACCCTCTCTGGTTTGGTCCTGGGCAACCTGCAGCAACACAAAGCTGCTGATTGCTAACATCACAAGGGATTGTCAGCTTAATTTCTTTATTGATTAAGGTATTACATATGTGTCCTTATTCCCTCATTTTACCCCCCACTCCCATTTATGCGCCTACCCTTCTGTTGTCTGTATCCATTGATTAGGCTTATATGCATGCATAAGTCCCTTGGTTGATATCTCCCTCTTACCCCCACCGTCCCCTACCTTCCCTGAGATTTGATGTTCTGATTGATGTTTCTCTGTCTCTGGATCTGTTTTTGTTCATCAGTTTATGTTGTTCATTATAAAAATATATTTAAATTAAAAAAAAAAGCATTCTCCTGCCCCACCTATCCTTAGTTCTGATCCTTGATTCCAGAAAAAAATGCCCACGCCCAGAAAAAATTGCCAGGATCAGTAAAAATGTTACTTTAATGGCAAATTGGACTTTGCAAATGTGATTAAGATTGCAGACCTTGCCGGGAGTGGCCAGGCCCGGAGCAGCTGGGCACGGAGCATCCGGGCCTGGAACAGCTGGGTTGGGAGCAGCCAGGCCCAAAGTGGCAGCATCCAGGCCCAGAGCGGCAGCAACCGGGCCCCAAGCAGCAGCGGCCAGACCTGGAGCAGCTGGTTGTGGAGCGGCCCGGAGCAACAGAGGCCAGGCCAGGAGCAGCCGGGCCCGGAACAGCTCTCTCCTCGTCTGCCCATGCCCAAGGCTGCTTCTCAGACATGGCTGGAAACTTTTGGGGGAACTTGAGGGTCTGCTGAATCAAGTGATGAAGGCTTAGATCTGGATGTGTTGAGTTGTGTAGTGCTGGGGTGTTTATCTGTGAGTGCCTTGTGTGGGGCCTGGATGAGGTTGGTTGATCTATTTGGAAGTATCTTTTGTGTGAAGTGTATCCGTGGGCATGTGAAGGTATTATTGATTTGAGAAAATGCTAAGTAATTGATATACTACCTGAAAAATTTAAAGTTCTGAAAGTTTAAGTTCTCTTGCCAAAAAGAGGTTTTAAAGCTAACACCTTAATTTTAATGGAGAAAGAGGAGGACAAGCCCTTCCCACCCAGAACAGGTAATCCAATTCTAGCCAGCAGCTATCTTTAAACAATGTGTTCATTTACATTTGAATGGCTATGCCTTTTGATAGCCTAAGGGCAAGTTTACATGTAAACAAGTTTGCTTCTCAGTTCCCAGGGCAGAAAAAACAAGGTTTAAAATTATTAGATTTTAAAATTTATTCTCAAAAGTATAAAAGTTTATTAATTAAAAAAACAAGGGAATTAAAAAATATGATGAACAATATTAACTTGATTATAATAGAATCAGAGATACAGGAGGGAGTGGACTGACAATTCTCGGGGAAAAGGGGAGTGGTGGATGCGGGAAAAGACTGAACATAAACTGTGCACCTATAGATGAGGACAATGGGGGGTGGGGAGGGGGCGGAGGGTGGGGTGGGAACCTGGTGGAGGGGGGAAGAAATGAGGAATCTTTGTAATAATATGAACAATAAAGATTGATTTTTTAAAAAAAGATTGCAGACCTTGAAATGGAGAGATTATCCTGCATTATTTAGGTGAACCCAATTTAATCACTTGAACTCATAAAAGCAGAGAAATTTCTCTGACTTGAAGCAGAAAAGGATGAGAGATTCGAAGTATTGAAAAGACTCATTGGTGATTCTGAAGATGGCAACTGGCAGGAAGGTAGGGAGGGAGAGAATACGAGAAAATGAGGGAGCAATAGAAGAATGTGTGGATGTGTGTGGTGTGTGTGTGTGTGTGTGTATGAGCTAGGGACAGTTAGATCCTATAAGTCTTCTAAGGGGCTGGCAAACCAGGCAGTCTTAGACTGCAGAGTCCTGCTACCACTGCAGACACTCTGGTGGAGGGGTGTGGGCAGCATGGGCACAGAGACCAGGCCATCTTAAAAAAACAGAGCTTCTTGAGACTAGGATACTGACTTTAGCACCACCCAGTCTGGTCTCAGATCCAAACCAGGACCCTGGAATTAGTGAGTTAGAAGATAAGGTAGAGAAACTAGCTCAATCTGAACAGCAACTAGAGAAAAAAAAAATTAAAAAGCAGGAGGGGAACCTAAGGGAGCTTTGGGACAACATGAAATGAAATAACATACATATAATAGGGCTGCCAGAAGGCCAAGAAGAGCAGCAAGGATTAGAAAATCT